GATTTTTGATAAAAATGGTAATAGAAACTGCTGCTGTAGAATACTGACTGTGTTATGTTCTTTTTCATTCAATGAGGCTGTGCTTGATGTTAGCCAAGACAAGGTAGGAGAGTCCCAGAATGTAGTGCTTCACAGCATAATGTAGGAGTTAGAGCAGTGATCTACATCTGGACTGCGTAAGTTTGGATTTCATCTGTAATGCTCTGTAATTTTATAGCCTTAGCCAAGTTACCTAAACTTCCTATATCTTTGTTTATTCATACATTGGGAATAAGAGTTAGACCTACACCAAATGTGTACTGTAAAGGATCAATGACATAGTAACTTTTAAAGTACTGTCTCAGGGGCTGGGGAGATAGCTCAGTGGCAAAAGTACCTGGCTGGGAAGCACAAGGTCCCACATTTGATCCCAGGTACTGATAAAAAAAAAGCATTGTTTCAGTTACTTCTTCCTCTTTGCTGGGACAAAATACCCAACATCCAGAATTAAGGGAGGAAATGCTTATTTAGTTCACAGGTAGTAGAGGTTTTGGTCCATGCTTGGCAGGCTGCAAGGCAGAGTGGCACAAGACAGAGGGCAGCCATTCATGTCTGTGGAAAACAGCAAAGATCAAAGGGAGGAGCAGCAGCTGAGGCAGCTAGCAAGCCTCTTTCCCCTCCTTACATTGCATGCAGATTATCCACCCTAGGGCGGGTGTAGCACTCACACCCATAATCAGTGCATTGGGTCATGAATTAATCATAAACTCTGGGAGCTGGCGCATGACTGCATGAGGTTTTGTGGGGACAACTAGACACAAATCATAACAAGTACTTAGAATAGGGGCCAGTGATATAGCTCAGTGGTATAAGCAGCTGCCTGGCAAGTGCAATGTATCTAGTTCAATTCCCAGTGGGACTGAGGGTGGGGAAGTACTGTTTAAAACAGTACCTGGCATAATATAAAGCCAATACACATTACTGTTATGACATTATTCTCAGTTCACTTTCTTTTACTTTTTTTTTTCTTTTTTGGTTCCAAATGCCTTCAGGGCAGGATTGGATGGCTTGAGTTGTGGGGATTGAACCACAGCAACCTGAGCCTGACTGCTTTGTTGAAGCAGCCACTTAAAGAACTGAGCTAAGGGGCAGGCCCCCCTCAGTTCACTTTCTATCACAACCCCATTAATTTTATAGTTAAACTATAATGCTACATTGTTATATAAATATCTTGAATTTGTTGATTGTCTTTATGGGGAGAAAATTTCACTCTTGAAATGTTTAATGCTTCATCTGAGTGGAAAGGACAGACAAGATAGAGGATAAGCAAAGCAGAGAGCATCTGATAGTGTATCAAGACATCATTGCTAGCATGTCTCTCTGATGAAGAAAGCCATAATTTTATACAGTATACTAAAAATTTATTACAGGCATTCATAAGATAACATAAAATTCTATTCATTATGTCCACTGGCTATTCTGTTATTCAGATATCTGTTGGCATACTGCTTGATATAACTGAATAGTGAAGCATTCACTCCATTTACAGGCTCACAATACAGTATATTTAGCAATTAGCTCAATGTTTCATTGGTGTCTGTTATGAAAAGGACAGATAATACAAAGATTGTCCAGTTATTTGGGAGTAAATTATGTCAAGTAGTTATTAAACAAGATACAAACTCATCTGGAAATCCAAGTAGTCTCTCCCTGCTTTCTAACTGTTTTCCTTCCCACGAGAATGTCTTCCATTTCCTTTGTGCCTATGTGGCAGGAAGGTATAGAAAATTACTGGAAAGTATGGAGTTACAATTTCTGCTGTGAATTGTAGTGTATCAGAATGAAAAGAGCAGCTTTCTTTTGGGGGGAGGGAGGTACCGGGAATTGAACTCAGGACCCTGTGCTTGCCACACAGGTGCTTATTCTACTGAGCTATCTCCCCAGCCCCTAAAACAGTAGTTTTTAAACAGAAAAGCAGCTACAGAGCCAGCCCAGAGAACATCAAGCCCTGACATTGTCCCTGTATCAGAAATGCCTTTTTTGTGTAATAAAGTAGGTTTGAGATCTGAAAGGTAATGTAGAATACATTACTACTGCTAATAATCCTAACACTGAAGTTAGAGGGAAAAATTCAACAGCAGTCTTCCTTTAAGAAGACTGCTGATTTTTTCCTGATTGTAAAACTGATCTTTAGAATTAGTAAACTATTAGTTCTTTTGTCCAACTCAATATGCTTCAGGCATAATGTTTTTAAGTGCTTTAGAAATGCAGTGAATTTAAAATCAGACTGAGAACAATAACATCCTAGATTTGTTGTAGGCTGAGTTTTATTAACACACAAAGGCATTTCTGAATGTCTTATATGGATAATTATCCACTTAAGGTATTAAAACACACCTCCATTCTGACATCTGACCTTTCAAAACACAGGTGAAAAGTGAAAGATGTAGATTTTTCTGATATGATACTCCTTCAGAAGGGCTTTTTAGCATTTGGTCCCTTCAATGGAGAATGAATTTCACTCTAAGATGATTGTGGACAACTGTACTGTGCATTTCTGCTTGTCTATGGAAAGGAGCAGGTAATAATATGTTTTGTCTCCTTTTTTCAATTGTTTGTACCTTTTCTGAATTTCTTATATATTTCTTTCTTTTTTTCTTTCTTCTTCCAATTTTACATGCATATATCTGGTAATATGAATAACTGGTTGGAAGACAACTCTGTATTACAACAAATACTATGAAATTCATATCACTTTGTTAAGTGAAATTCTGTATCACTTGTAATTTTTTTCTGTTTTAATTCTAATTTGTACTCTCTTTTAAAAAATAAATAAATTTAAAAGTTGCTTGTGAGTACAAAAGGGAAAAATCCATGCATGAGACCACAGTTTGCTAGCTCACATAAACTATCTCCATATAGGTATTATTTTAATTATCTTAACTGCACAATTCAAAGGCATTAAGTATATTCACATTGTTGCCTAACTATTATCATCATCCATCTTCAGAAACTTTTCATGTTTCAAAGCTGTATGTATTTAACAATAATCTCCTTTGAATCTCAACCCCAAACCCAGCTAACCATCATTATACCTTGTTTCTTTGAATCTGCCTGTTCTAGGTACCATATATAAGTAGAATTATAAAGCACTTATTATTCTATACCTGTTTTTTTATTTAGCACAATGTTTTTAAGGCTTATCCATGTTGTAACATGTGCCAGAATTTCACTGCTTTTTAAGGGTGAATAATATTGTTATGTTTATTTATTCATCTGTTGATGGGCATTTGGTTGCATTCTTACAAGTTTGAATATAAGTGATCAGAAAGCTTACTTTGGATTCTCTTGAGGGGACTCCTTAATTTTGGTAGATTGCATTTGCTTTTGATTCTTACTTTTCTCCTTACCCTCATCATGGTCCAGTATGAGTAAAGTATTTTTCATCATCTATTTGACTGTAGGCTTTAATGCATGATTTGCTTTCGCCAAGAAAATGTGGGCAAAAGTTTGAGTGTGCTGGTTCTGAGCTAAGGCTTTAAGAAGGATTATATATTTCTGTTGATCCCTTTTGGGCATCTGCCATCCATGTTAGATAAATGTAATCACTAATCTTATAAAGTATAAAAATGAAATATTCCTAAACTGAACTCAGTGCTTAGACCCAAGGCCAAACAATACTAGCATAATAACACAATCCACAAACCTGTAAGTTAAAAATACATGATTATTATGGAAAGCCACTAATTTTGAAGTTATTTCCTCGCTATCCTTATTTCAGCAATAAGTAACTAATTCAGGCCTTTGTGAGAGAAAGGGATAACATCTCTTCTGCACTTCTAGGGCTCATTGTAATTTGTGGGTGGAGATAATTTTCTCCAAGAAATGTCTCCCTGATCTTGATTCAGTACAGGCAAATCCTAGCTCTTTTCTGTTCTCAGAGACAGTTAACAATGTGACGGTTCACAATGAAATAGGAGCACAGAGCCAAAGTTGTCTCCTTGCCTTTTTTATAAATAGAGTCATAATTGGGGTTTTCTCAATTACTAAAGCTCTGGTAAAGATGATAATCAGCTCTTCAAGATGATTAAATTTTAGTGAAACTTTCATATGCTTTACTTCTTCTGTGTTACACCCCCCACACTTAGCTCACACTTCAGTGCCTCCCCCAGTTATTTATCACACCTTAGGATCTTTCTAGCTTTCATTTACATTCTCTAACTTTTAGATTATAGCCTTCAGGTTTGTTTTTAAGATGACATTGTGTGTCCATTGTTAAAGGACCTTCCCAGAGAGGTGCTGATAAGTTAACATTGCCTTCTTTAACCAGGTGCTCCATGACTACTGTTTACATGTGGATTTGTCATGTTTCTGAATTACAAATTGAATATGTCTGGACCAAATGTATTGCTGAGTATTATGGTTGAGATGAGGTTCCCCCAAAGTCTTATGTGTTCAGAGGTAGGGATTTTAGAAAGGGAGTGGATGATAGTGGTGCTTTAATCACCCATGGGTTAATCCACTGATGAGTTTATAGATAAATGTGCTGCTAAGAGGTAAAGCCTAGTTGGAAAATGTAGGACACTGAGGATGTGATATGGAAGAGTGTACCTCCCTAACCATTTTCTACTTGTACTTCCTTCTTCCTGAATGCCAAGCTGCAAACAGCTTTCTTCCCCCTAGTCCCTTACACTATGTTGTTCTCTGCTTTGGAAATAGCTGACCATGGAGTAAGAATGTGAAAACATTTCAGGTTAAATAAACATAAACAATTCAAAATATGAGATTTTTAAGTATACAGTAGCTTATTCTTTTTCCTATTATTTCAGAAAGAAAGCAAATTGCTCATACTGTCATTTTAAATATTGCCAAACTTTTTCTTATTTCTTACTTCAAGGCCTTTTTTTCCTTTCTTGCCATTCTATGTACTTTTCTAGTCACCTTGGCTTATAGATATATTGTTCCTAAAACATTGGCCCCTAGAGATTTCCATTAAGATCAGTTTCAGCAGTTGATGGTATTGTATTAAAATGATAAATGAAAAAGAGACTCAATATTGAAACCTAATATTACCTCATGATATGCTGATGTACTTTGCCAACAAATAATAAAATAAAAATTAAAAAAAATATACACATCTTGCTATGGTTTGTATCTAAAACATCCCCACAAATTCTTATGTGTGTGGAAGTTGACTGGAATGTGGCAGTACTATATTCATTATTGTACTTATCTGTTGATAAACTCAGTATATGAATATGCTGTAGGAGGTGAGGCCTGATCTGCAGCAGGTACATGGAGGCTTGGACCTGGAACACTGTGTTTTTTCTTTGACTTCATTCTTGCTTTGATTCTTGGCTTCCATGAGTTGAGCACCTTTTCTTCCACCATGTGCCTCTACCCTCCTGTTTCTGCTTTTGACTGCCAACAATGAAATGAAAGGTTCAAATAAACCTCTCCACTTTTAAGGTTTGTTTTATTTCAGTCTGGTGTCAAGAAAGTGATTAAGATAGAATTTGGTGCCAGGAGTGGGGCCATTGCTGGAACTGTACCTCATCATGTGGTTTAGAAGTGCCTTACTTTTCTTGATAGTAAGACAAAATACCTGATACCCAAAGCTAAAAGAGGAAAGGTTTATTTAGCTGACATTTTGTAGAGGTTTCAATCCATAATCAGCAGACTTCAAAGCAGAGTGGCACATGGCAGAGGGGTAATAGTTTATGGGGGCAGAAAACAGCCAAAGCAACAAGGAGAACTGGAAGCTCTTTCTATCTCTTATATTTCATGCAAGCTACCTGCCTGAAGGCAGATGTTACACATTCACCTCTAATACTAGCATCACGTATCTAGATTCAGCCATCTCCAGAAAGTTCTTTAACTGCCTGAGACATTGGGAGGGGTAGACATGGAAGTGCAAACCATGAAAAGAAGCCTTTGGAACTGGTTCATAGAACATGTTTGGGAAGGTTTGGAGATGCTGGCTAAAGAGAAGCCCTAGAATGCTATAAGCTGAGCTAGATAGGAGATTCTGGTTGGAACTCGAAAGACAAGAATTCTGATAGAAATATAGATAGATGGTAATTGGACTAGAGATCATGTACATCATGCTCTGGCAGAAAATATGTCTTCATTTTAACTTGGTTCTAAAAGTTTGTGATAGACTGATATTAAGGAAAGTAGATTAATATGGAGGAGAAAATCTCAAGGAAGCCCAGTGTTTACACTGCAGCATAGGTGCTGCTGGCTGTTTTTATCTGAATATACAGTGAGAATGAGGAGTAAATATTAGAGCCAAAATATGTGAAACATTTTAAGTTCCAACAGAAAAGAAGAGTCTACAAAGTGGGGACCATAAAGAGGGTGGTTTCTAAAGTTATAAGTATTACTAAAAAGAAACCTACCACTATACATTAGGACAATAGTCAAGGTGCCTTGAGGGCATCTCTGGAATAAGCAAGTCCCTACCATTTTTGGTCTCAAAGGTGTAAAAGTAGAAGATTGATTTAAGAAGAGAGCCTCAGAGTGCATAGCTCATTTGGACCAAATAAGAAAGTTTTCCAGAGCTAAATCATCTGTGATCTCAGAGACTTCTGCAGCCATGATTCAAGAGGGCCTGAATAATGCTCAAACTAGTGGCATATCTTGTATTCATCCTCATAGTGATAGTTTTTTAGACACATAATTCAAAAATCATAAGATCATGGAAGCTTCCAACTAGATTCTTAACCTCAGAACTCCTGCATTCTGCATGTGTCTAGAACCAATGCCGTGTAGATGATGCCAAGGTTAGCTGCCAGATGGAGGAATAGCCAGGCTTTCCTCTCTCTTGGCTGTAGGGATCAAATGCCTAGATCGCTGAACATTCTGACCCTGATCCTGAGGAATAAATTCTCCATGCCGGCACCATTCTGAAATCAGTTTTGGCTGCAGCCTCCATTCTGCAACCTGGTGTGGCTGCTGCCTCCATTCTGGAACACGGGACTCTGAAGATTTTTCCTGAAAAAAAGTCCCTCACCCTTGTGACTCTGAGGCTCCAAAAGGTGAGACCCTGCCACCTCCTGTGATGCTCTCAGAACATCTTTTCCACTCTCCTGTTCCTCCTGGGCAATGGAGATCTCAGCTCTATCTTTGCAATCCAGGTTTATTGGAGCTTCCTTTCGGGCCAAACTCACAGTTTAAATAATTCTGCTGGGCTCTTTGCTCTTCATTCCCAACATAAGTCTGACTAAGAGTCACCAACAATAACCATGTCACTGTCCCAATATTTGACTGCTTTGATATTTCCTTTGAAAGATTAATCAGTCTTCCATGCTTAAATTCAGTCTTAGGCAAAGTCTCTGGACATGGGAAAAATTCAGACCAACTTTCTGCCAAGCCATAACACAAATGATCTGGATTCCAACAACCAAAGCAGTCCTTATTCCCAGCAGAAACTTCCCCAGCATGACCTTTGCAGGTAGGCTTTCTATCAGTCTTCTGGACTGAGCTTTTACCAGAATCTTCCCTACAGAACATCTGAAGTTATTCCAGCACTTCTCTTGTAGGTGACATCGCCAAGCCTTTCCTATCTCTTCCCAGAAGCCATTTCCAAAAGATTGTAATCCACATGATCAGGTTTACCCACAGCAATGACCCTACTTCTCTGGTACCAAATTCTGTATGAGTTACTCTTCTCTTGTTGCTGGGACAAATACCTGGCACTCAAAATGAGTGAAGGAAAGGTATATTTAGCTCACAGGTATGGGAGGTTTCAAGACACTGTCCCTGTTCTACAGGGTCTGGAGGAGAGGCTGGGGTGCTACAATGTCCAGGATGACCCTCCACATCTCTGAGGGAGTCCGCTGCCTTGGGGGCAGTGCATGCTGTCAGTTTAAGAGTTCACGCTTCTCTGGCCCCTAACCTCAAGCCACTCACTACTCCTGGAGCTGCATCTGCCCCATGACTTACATGAGACTTTGCAGGGAAGAACTAGACACAAACCATAACACCTACCATGATCTTAAACCATGATTTAAAACAAATTCCTTTTTTAAGCTGTGGGTGTTGAGTATTTTGTGTGAGGAACAAGAAAGTGACTGAGACACACTTCTTATTACTAAAAAGCTTAGAGTAGGGCTTGAGTTTTTCATGAAAAAAAGATTTCCTTGAATTCTTAACTAAAATTTGATTAGTTTTGTTATAATAAAGTACTAGGCATATATCTTAGTACTAATGTTAAAAATAAAAAATCATTTTAATGTTTTATGAAAAAGTTTTGAGAAGACAATGTATAATTTCCTATGGGAGTTAGGGTACTGGTCCTCAAAACATTTTCTGAATTCAGCATTCCAAGGAATATGTCAACTGGTATCTTCAAGTTGTACCTATAGAGATTGCCTCTATGTTAATAAATCCAATATTAGTGGCCCTTTTTCAAACGATAAGGAATGGAAAATAAAATGACAGTGCCTTTTGGTGACATCATGCAAAAATCAATCTTCATTTTGAATTGGCTCTTTAAAAAGCCTGCTTTAGCTTATAAATCTTAGGAATAACTATGAGTAAGATGATATAAAAAGCAGATTTAAAAATCAGGATGAAAATATGATGTTGCTCAATGTGGCTTGTTTGCAGGATTATGCTGTTCAGGAAGTGTGTGCTTGTGCCTGTGCACACATATATACATTCTGCTCTGAGCTGAATTTTGTAACTTCTGATATTTGATGCCTCAATTTTGCTGAAATTTCCAGAGGCTTAGTTTGGCGTAAATAATAATCATTTAGTGCATTAATCTTACATTTTCAGCGATGCCATTTTGTTTCCTCAGGACAAGAGTGTCAACTCAAATTTACTCATAGACCAATTTCCCCTCATGAAAATCCTGGTAGGCTGAACTAATATTTCATTTAAAACGTGCCAAGTGAAATAAAGCTATTTTCAGTGAGATTGTGTCATTGAATGATGACCTTCTGCAGAATGGAAATGGCCTACAGGCTCAATGGTTGACTTTTATACTCTTAGGGTATTTCAGGTTTACTACTAATAATCAAGGTAACATTATTTCATGGTCTCTTAGGTATTGAAGGGATTTTGAGAGCCATTTGTTGATGGTGACTAAATTCTTTTTCCTTTAGTTGGGGCTTTTGTACATATGTGAGACAGATGAAAGTGTGCATCCTGTTTGACAACAGTTTTGGAAAAACAACAAGAGTAAACAACTTTAAAATGGAAGATGAGGAATTTAAATTGGTTGCAAGAAAATGATTGCTTACAGAACAAGCAAAACATGTTAGAAATTGCTATCAGTGTTGGTTTGATGAATCTCACTCATTTTGTAGGTGTGTATTTGTGGAGGCAGTTTGCATTTTGCATTATTGCTAATTACAATTCAGTAAATTCTTAGTATTTTAGGCACATGAAAAGGGTGTCATGGTGAGGAATAGCCTACCCTAAGTGAGTGTAACTTGATTTAGCAGGCGAGATTGGTCTTCTGCCTTGTCAGATACGATTCTAATGCAACAGAGATCATTTGAAGACAGATGTCCAAAGGATATGCCATTTGTTACAGTAATAGGGGGAAATATTATCCAATGAGCAGAATGAAATTATCCTCCACTCAGCTGTACCCATTTACAACCATCCTCTCTTTCTTTAAATTCTTCACTAAATTACCTATTTTGTTTTTATGTCATATGCCACCCCGTGTAGCATATATACTTCAGGGGAAGGTCTTTGACCACAGAATTTGCAATCCCTATTAATCTGGTATAATTATGGTAGCCAATCAATCTTAATTTACAGACCTGACCCAGGTTGACTTGATGCCATGAGAAACAAAAAGAATTTCCATGGAGAGGTCTTCAAAACATCTTTTCCTTGTTAAACATAGATGAAGAAAGTCAGAGTCTTACTGGATATGAAGAAGTAACCATTAGACCTAGTTGCAATAGGGAACAAGCTACAGTCAACAGAACAATTAGGTTTAGAATGTAGTTGTCAGACTTGCTGTTTGAATAGAGAGATAGTAGTAACTTGTGGCCTTTGTAATATCCTTGACTAACACTGATATCTATTTTACAGCTGGACCTCAGTTTTAGTTGATAATATTTTTTAT